GCAGCTATGTCTGTACCCTATCTTCCCAAGGATCATCTTTCCTCCATACATGCACTCAAAAGAATAAATAAAACTTATTGCGCAACATGTGAAACTCCCATAAACCATTTATTAAAAGGATTAAAATATCACTCACAAAATAGGTGCACTGTGCCCAGTACACATAGAATAGATTGCCTTTTTAAACATCAAACAGTTTCCCCCTTAAGGCTAGGTTCACATCTACGCAGTTTGCGTTTGATCTGTTTTTTTCAGTGCTTTTTGCACTGCATATTGCGTTTTTACACATGCTTTTTTGATGCGTTTTGCATTTTTCTCCAACTTGTTGCTGGGCAGAATAAAACGCATCAAAAATTAATCAAAAACGCATCAAAAATGCACTGCGTGCTTTTCTGCAGCGTCCCCATTGAAGTCTATAGAACCAAAAATGCAACGTTTTGCGTTTAAAAAAGTCCCTGACCCTTTCCAGAAAACACACCGGGTGAAAACACGTAGATGTGAACCTGTCCCATAGGAAATCATGTTAAATGGACTGCCGTGCATTTCTGCAAAACGTTAAATGCAGTGGAAAACACATAGGGGTGAACCTAGGCTGGATTTTGGCTTCAGATTCCTCACCAAAAATGGCTGACTTCCGATTCCTGTGTACGTGATCAGGGGCAGACTGACCATTCGGAAACTCGGGCACTGCCAGAGGGCCCGGGGCCAGTAGGGGGCCCCATGAGATGCCCCTGGTACCTTTCGTAGGCTTTTTTGGGTGTGGTTTGAGTGTGGGTGAGGACACAGGGGCCCCATGTTTCCCTATTGCCCGGGGGCCCCATGAGTTGTCAGTCCGCCCCTGTACGTGATGACATCATACGGCCACGCCCTTACCTCTTTGTGTTCTCTCTGTACGCACCCCCCCAGCCGCCAATCCCCTACACCCCCACCCCCAGCCCGGTGGCAGAACACAATATTGCTGCAGGAGTCATTGCCCCCCATCAATACTGACAATGTTGATGGGAAATCAAGCAATTTTCTTTTCTTCTACCTCTGGTGGAAGGAGAGAGTGTCGAACAAGCTATGAGCTGCTTACTGTGACATTTAAAGATAATATTTTGGTGACAGGTTGGGTATGAGTGAGCTCTTTCAGCGTCAATTGTGCTGGTAGCAAAGGCGTTAAAGATTAAAAAAATGTCATCTGTATCTACTGCCTTACAAGAAAGCTTTCAGTCTCCAATTTTCATTTCCACCGAGTGAAGGGTGTGTAATTGTAGACTTGATAATATCATCTTTAATTATAGCTCATGCCCTAAATTGTGTTGGGGGGGGGGGGGTGAGGAGTAGAGCCAAAAAACACTCATGTAAATTCAACATCTTTGTTACGCTAACAGCAGTAATTAATGAAATCCAGTCTAGCAATGCAGTTGTATATTGATGCATGATCAGCACAAAGAGACATAGATATAGTACACCTGACATATACAGAGGAGGATTTTAGTGTACATCCCTATATTTGAAATAATATGTGGAAATATGTCTTGTGTCTAAAAGATCTGTGTCTAAAATGTAAAGTACTGTAAAGCAATGTAAAACATGTTCTTTATATAAGGAACATAGGATGTACTTTTATCAGGTCAGGGACAAGCAGCATTAGCCTAGAGATCTACTTTAAAGGCTAAGCTAAGCTAAGCTAAGCTTTTAACCACTTGCCCTCCTTCCTGACCAGGCCATTTTTTACGATACTGCACTACGTTATTTTAACTGACAATTGTGCGGTCATGCAATGCTGTACATAAATTAAAGGTATGTAATTTTTTTCCCACAAATAGAGATTTTTTTTGGTGGTATTTGATAACCTCTGCATTTTTTTGTGGCACTATAAACAAAAAAAAGACTGACCGTTTTGAAAAAAAAAAAAAACAATGTTTTTGACTTTTTTGCTATAAAACATATCTAATAAAAAAATTTAAAAAAATACAATTTCTTCATAAATTTAGGCCAAAATGTATTCCGCTACATGTCTTTGCTAAAAGGAAAAATCCCAATAAGTGTATATTAATTGGTTTATGTAAAATTTATAGCGTCTACAAATGCTGGAATTTTTTTTTAATATACTAGTATTGACTGCCATCAGCGATTTCTAGCGGGACTACAGCGGGCATTCTGACACTGGGTGGGAACTGACTAACTGCCACTGGCATCCCCCCAGTGACACTAATACAGTGATCAGTGCTATATGGGCAGCACAGTGGCTAAATGTTTAGCACTCCCGCCTGGCAGTACTAGGGTCGTTGGTTCAAATCCCAACCACAGCACCACCTGCCTGGAGTTTGCATGTTCTCACTGTGCCTTCGTGGGTTTCCTACAGGTACTCCATTTTTCTCCCACACTCCAAAGACATGCTGGTAGGTGATTTGGCTTCTGTCTAAATTGGCCCTAGTATGTGTATGTATGAATGTGTGTTAGGGACTGTACGCCCCTTGAGGGTTAGGGACTGATGTGAATGTACAATATATATGTAAAACAGTGTAAATTGACAGCACTATATAAGTACCTGTTATAAATAACAAAAAGCACTGACACTGGGCAGGAAGGGGTTACCAGCTGGGGTGGCCAAAGGGTTAACAGTGTGCTGTTTGTGTTTTACTGTTAAAGTATGTGCTGTTTTATAGAGAAACCTGCTGCTTTCTATCTCTCTTTTGTGTTTATACACATATCTCTCCCCTCTCAGCATCACCAACGATCACTGAGTCCTGGCCGGGAATCGCCGGAATGACTGACATCCTTAGGAACCAATTGTAGCATAGGTAGGGCAGCGAGTGTGCGCCCTATACCCGGAAATACAAAAGCATGCATATTTTAATAATTTTGCATAGCACAGCCATCCTGTAGCAGTACATCTACTATGAGGTGGTCGTCAAATGGTTAAATAAGTCTTCTGCTTTCAGGAAAAAAGTGGAAAACTTGTATCCAGTATGGCCAAACAGCTCAGTGGCTACCACTACTTGGAGAGCTCAGAGACATCATCCATTCTAGGCAATTATGCTGTTTCTAGTCATGATGACACAGTTTTCAGTTTTCAACAAATAATATAATCAAATGTCATTCGGACTAGTTTTCTAAAGGTCTTTAGGCCAGGCTAAGAGTTCCCTGGAGTGACACTATTCCCCTGGAAGGTCCTGGAAGAGATGTGCCCATGGAGGAGGTGACTGCAGAGAGGTGGAGAGAGACTGTTTGAGGGAAGGTGGCTTACTTAAAGGGCTGCCTGGTGCTTTCACATGTGATTTCTATGGACCATCTACAAAATGTGATTGACAATCTACTGTCAAGTGCAATCAGATAGTATGTTGCTATGATGTGACTGTTTGTGCCATTTTCAAAGTACCACCAGTAAAAAGCAGCAAACACTATTTATATGTGGACATTCCTTCCTTTGGGAACATACAGGTTAATGGCTGGGGATGGTGGGAGAAGGCCTCCGACATAGAGTGGGCACAAGATGGTGGAGGGGATAGAGCCTCAGTAGGAGGGTCACTGTTCTAGCAGGAGAGGAGCTGCTTTTGGCAGCCAATCGCAAGCCCCTCTTACACGGGGGATACGCACAGTGGGCAAATGTACATTATCTGAAGGCTTACTTTATCTTTAAGCATGAGTGCATTATTTACTAGATAGCTTTAACAATTTACAAATTATTTTCCTTGTTTTTCTTGGACTGTAACTTGCCTTAAACCATATGCACCAATTATTTAGGCAAGCAAAAAACAAACAGCTCAAGTAACACCCATCTCTTAAGCAATATTGCTGACAACTACAAATGAGAAATATTCCAATATGATAAGTCATAAGGGATGGAGGAGTTTTTTCTTTGATGTAAAATTGATGGACGATGCTATAGTTGTATGTAGGCCAGGATAGAAGCTTTGCTTACTTGGATCAATAGCTGCTATAAAGCACATTGAAATGAGATACTCCAACTGCAGCAGCTTACTGCATAGAGCAGTAATAGAAATAGGAAAGCTAAAAATAGCAACATGATGTGAAACATGCATTATGTTAAACATTTATTGGAATCTGATCAGGGTGAGGTAACCTTCGCTTTCTAATTCATTTTGGGTTGCATACAAAAATATGTACATGAGTATGCTAGATATATAACACTACAATACATAATGTTATTGTAAATCCTTCAAAGTGACAATATTGTTGTAAAGTCTACATTCTCACAATGGTGGAATGGTATCTTCCAAGCGTGTTTTCAAATAATTTCATAGAGGCGGCAAACAAAAGACTGTCAGGCTTGTTCAATAAGGCTCAGCATAGAAAGGTAGATGTGTTCCCAAGAACGACTGATAGACATCCCATGTGACTCTCCCGAAGAATTAATAAGGCGCACATACATGGCATTGTCAGCCTGAGAAAAGGGTAGTGTTAGGTTGGCCATGGCTTGATTAACCACTAGCCTACAGGGCACTTATATCCCCTTCCTGCACAGGCCAATTTTCAGCTTTCAGCGCTGTCACACTTTGAATGACAATTGCGTGGTCATGCAACATTGTACCCATATAAAATTGTTATCATTTTTTGAGACAGATAGAGCTTTCTTTTGGTGGTATTTAATCACCTCTGGGTTTTTTTTATTTTTTGCTAAACAAACCAAAAACTGACAATTTTGAAAAAAAAGTTTTTTCTTAGTTTTTTTTATAAAATTTTGTAAGTAAGTGATTTTTCTTCTGCTTCACTGATGTGCGCTGCAGTGATGGGCACTGATAGTCTGCACTGATGGGCACTGATAGGTGGCACTGATGAGGAGGCACTGGTAGGTGGCAATGATGGGCATTGACAGGCATCACTGATGGGCACTGGAAGGCAGCACTTATATATGGCACTGATAGGCAGCACTGATAGGTGGCACTGATAGGCGGCACTGATTGTCACTGATAGGCGGCACTGACTGGCACTGTTAGCTGGCACTGGATGGCACTGTTAGGCGGCACTGATAGACAGCACTGATGGGCACTGATAGGCGGCACTGATGCGCACTGATAGATGGCACTGACTGGCACTGATAGGAGGCACTGTCTGGCACTGATAGGCGGCACTGATTGGCAGCACTGATAGGTGGCACTGACAGGTGACACTGGATGTGCACTGGTAGCCACTGATATGTGGCATTGATGTGGCACTGATGGGCACTGGCAGGTGGTATTGATGGACACTGTCAGTGTACATGTCCCCTCTGAGTAATGCTGATTACTGGCTGACAGCATGACAGCTCGTGAGGAGAGAAATGCCGATAACTGGCATTTCCCTATTTACATGCAATCAGCTGTGATTGGACACAGCTGATCACATAACCGAGCCAACGTCTTCGGCTCTTTCCATTGATCGGTGATCCGCTGTGTCCGAGGGACACAGCTCACTACCGGTCGCCGCGCTGCATGCCCCCAGAGCTACCCATGCGCAGTTAGAGTGGGAGGATGTCATATGACGTCCTCCCAGAATGAGAGAACTGCCTTGCACCCGTCATTTTCTTATATGGTGGGCAGGAGGCAGTTAAAGTGAGGTGGAAGGAGGAAACCTCCCTGCAGTGCCATTGTCCTCCACTGTTAGAATAAACTGATCAGCGGCTGTAGCCAATTGACTAAAGCTAGATCGTCAAGAGAAATTTCCCAGAAGTCAATTGTTAAATTAACTTCTGTAAACAGGAGTGGTCATAGACGGATCAAAATGTGGCCTGTCCCTGCTGAACTGTCCAAATTTCAATCCGGCTTTAGATGGCCAGCTTCAGACTAGCAGATTTAGATGGACTTGACTAACAAATTGAAGCAGAACTCCAGCTAACAAACTATAAGCAATTACAGCAACAGTTTGGGATAAAGGTTTTACATAAATGAATAAAAGCTGACCATTGTAAGCAACCCTGTCAGTGTTAAATGGTTTGTCTCAACCCTCTAACGCTAGAACCTAAATGGTCTAATCCTTGCCCGAGGCATGGCTTCAACTGTCAGACTGGCAGTACAAAGAACAATTTTCATTTACCAAGAGTAAGCAACCAATCAGAAATCACCTCATTGGATTTCAGTTAGATGAAATTTGATTAGTTACTAGAAATTCTACCCAACGGGTAACAGACAATGGGAAAAAAAATAACCAGTAAGGGATGTAATTCTTCAGCACTCTATCCAAGGTTGAAAACATATTTAGGATATACATACATTTTAATTAGTAAGCCAGTAAAGCCCAAAAGTGGACTAATTGAAGGGATTCAAAAGCATCAAATGGATAGAAAAAGTCAACTCAAGAGGAGTATGATATCAGGAGTAAAGTAATAAATCTATATGTTCTATTTAGCTGGTCCTGTGGTCTTGGTATCTTTGACAAACAGCACAATCAGGTCTGTGACTTTTTCCCAACGGTAGTTAAAAAATGTCAACCTGTCACCATCCTCTGAAATGGACAAGGAAAGAGCTTCACTACACTTATGAGGTCATCACTCTGCTCACACTACCCTCTCCTTTTTTTGAGCAAGTTTCTCAGTGTTACATTGACAGCACAACGTAATAAAGTATGGTATGGTTAGCTTCTAGTCCAGTCCTCCTGAGTATGGAACCCTAATAGATTAATACCAGCTACAATAAAAATTCAATTGATTACATTTTAGGAAATCCATAAATGATTGAGGATTTTGCATTAAACTACTGTGGCGCCACCACGATCCCAGTGCTTTGATTGCAGTGATGACACAGTTCCATTGATTACAAAGGAAAACCTTGGCCAGTGGCAAAGTTTGCCAAACTTTGTCTGCCAACTACGATGCAAGGTCTAGTTTTGTCTTCTAACCTTTAAAAATGAATTTCAGTGACTTTTAAAAAATAATTTGCGTGTAATACAAAATTAACTATTCCTCTTTTTCTAATGATCTTTGAATACATGAGTTACTGCATTACACTCACTTTCATGACCTGAACGAGCAACCTTTGGCCTTGAAATTGCTAAACCCACTTTTGCTCCCTGGAGTTGCCAGAATTAGTAGTCAGATACAAAAAAGCATATTGTGCTTTTTTGATAACCTTTGTTAGCCTGCTGCAGGGCAAAGTGCAGGGAGCAACTGTCAGGGAAAGAGACGAAGAAGCCCAGGCAAATGCGCCAATGCCCAATATGGCCACGCAAAAATATGCCCACGTAATTGGGCACCCATGTGCGTGAAAGTGCACCGCTACACACAGGGCGTGATAATTGCTGACACCCAGTGGCCTCTATAAGGACTGCAGCTCCTCACAAACAATTGCTGGATTATCATCAGCCTCCTGTTCCCTAGTTCCTGTGTGTATTCTCCTGCTGATTATCAGCTTGACCCTGATCTTCTTTGGCTCTTCTCCTGGCTCTCTACCTCAGCTTGTCCCTCAGATCTGCTCCTGCTTACTCCTGATTGATTACCAGTGTATGACCCCAGCTTGATCCTGACCTTGCTCCTGCCTGATGTTCTGTGTTTGACCCTGGCTCTGACTTCTGGCTTCGCTTCCTACTTTGCTCATCCACCTAAATCCACTAGTCCTCTGGAGGGCCCCCTCCTGTATCTGGTCCACCCACGGGTATCGTCTCATCAGGCATCTTCAAGCTTCCATACCATTGGCAACCCATGCTTCTTTGGGCACTGCACCTGCTGTTACCACCTTCATGGGTGCATTGCACTCAGCCGTAAGGGGGGCCCTCTTTTCAACTCAGCCTCCAGTCAGGTAGGTGACAGCAACAATACACTTGGTTTAGCAATACGCATTTTTGACAGTACACAGAGAAAGTTCTGACTGCTGCATCTGCCAAAAAGCAGTCTGGCAATGTTTATCAACAACATTGCTCAACTGAGAATACAGAAACATACAAAGAAACATTGTTTAATTTTGTATCTTTCTGTTTATTCATCTACAGATCAAAGGGATGAGTTTAGATCTGCAGATGAAGTCAGCTAAAGCAACCTGACAAGAAAAAAAAAGTGGTTATTTTTTTAAATTAAACGTTCCTCTGCTTAACCCCTTATTAACCCTTAGCTTACTCTACTCAGTTCTAATTAAAGCGATTGTAAAGGTAACTGAAAAAAGCAAAACAAACGTCTCTCTACTTACCTGCTCTGTGCAATGGAATTGCACAGAGTGGGCACAAACCTCCTCTTCTCAGGTCCCTCCAACAGTGCTCATGGCCCTTCCACTCTGTTAAGTGCCCCCATGGGAAGTCGCTTCCCATAGGGGCACTCGTGCGTGCTCATTTTTGAGCCCTGCTGCTGTGTCCATTGACACAGATAGCAGGACTCTGCCCCATCCCCCACTCCCTTGTCACTGGCTTTGATTGACAGTGCTGGGAGTCAATGGCTCCCAGAGCCCCAGTAAAGCAAGTGAGACACAGAAGTGAGGGAAGAGAAGAGGTCCAAGGTGTGGAAGGTGCTGGATCGAATGAGGGCTCAGGTAAGTAAAAGTGGGGGGGGTGAGGGTGTATGCTGATGCTTAAGCATTTTTACCTTAAAGTGTTACTAAACCATGGACTCTGCATTCACTATATCTGGTCTCCCACAGTACACACAACATGGACATGCAATTATTTTAGTAAATATAAACTGCTAAATACCTTTTCTCATCAGCAGCTACAGCAGTCTTATGACTTCTATCAGTGTCCAGCCGATCACTGGTTAAAGCTTGTAGGAGGAGTTTTCTTTTTGCTCTAGGAGGGTGCAGAACTCCTGAACCTCTGTCTGGACAATGCTGACAGGCCCTGTGCTGATCACATGCACTCTCCCAAGAAAAAAAAAAAAACCTCTCTAGCAATACACACCAAACGAAGCATGTGCAGAGTGTGTCCTAGTGCTCTGCACTATCAGCAGATAGATTGGGGGCAGTAGAAGAAAGAGAGGATCAGAGAAGTCAGGATCAAACAGCATTGTTACACAATGCAGAGGATTAAGCCCTTAGGTTCCACAGTGCGTATAACAAGCATGCTTTACTGCATATACGGTGGGGAAAAAAAGTATTTAGTCAGCCACCAATTGTGCAAGTTCTCCCACTTAAAAAGATGAGAGAGGCCTGTAACTGGCATCATAGGTAGACCTCAACTATGAGAGACAAAATGAGAAAAATAATCCAGACAATCACATTGGCTGATTTGGAAAGAATTTATTTGCAAATTATGGTGGAAAATAAGTATTTGGTCACCTACAAACAAGCAAGATTTCTGGCTCTCACAGACCTGTACCTTCTTCTTTAAGAGGCTCCTCTGTCCTGCACTCAATACCTGTATCAATGGCACCTGTTTGAACTTGTTATCAGTATAAAAGACACCTGTCCACAACCTCAAACAGTCACACTCCAAACTCCACTATGGTGAAGACCAAAGAGCTGTCGAAGGACACCAGAAACAAAATTGTAGACCTGCACCAGGCTGGGAAGACTGAATCTGCAATAGGCAAGCAGCTTGGTGTGAACAAATCAACTGTGGGAGCAATAATTAGAAAATGGAAGACATACAAGACCACTGATAATCTCCCTCGATCTGGGGCTCCACACAAGATCTCACCCCGTGGGGTCAAAATGATCACAAGAACAATGAGTAAAAATCCCAGTACCACACAGGGAGACCTAGTGAATGACCTGCAGAGAGCTGGGACCAACGTAACAACAGCTACCATCAGTAACACACTACGCCGCCAGGGACTCAGATCCTGCAGTGCCTGACGTATCCCCCTGCTTAAGCCAGTACATGTCCGGGCCCGTCTAAAGTTTGCTAGAGAGCATTTGGATGATCCAGAAGAGGATTGGGAGAATGTCATATGGTCAGATGAAACCAAAATAGAACGGTTTGGTAGAAACACAACTCGTCGTGTTTGGAGGAGAGAGAATGCTGAGTTGCATCCAAAGAACACCATACCTACTGTGAAGCATGGGGGTGGCAACATCATGCTTTGGGGCTGTTTCTCCGCAAAGGGTCCAGGATGACTGATCCAAGTACGGGACAGAATGAATGGGGCCATGTATCGTGAGATTTTGAGTGCAAACCTCCTTCCATCAGCAAGGGCAATGAAGATGAAATGTGGCTGGGTCTTCCAACATGACAATGATCCCAAACATACCGCCCAAGCAAGGAAGGAGTGGCTTCGTAAGAAGCATTTCAAGGTCCTGGAGTGGCCTAGCCAGTCTCCAGATCTCAACCCCGTAGAAAACCTTTGGAGGGAGTTGAAAGTCTGTGTTTCCCAGCGACAGTCCCAAAACATCACTGCTCTAGAGGAGATCTGCATGGAGGAATGGGCCAACCTACCAGCAACAGTGTGTGCCAACCTTGTGAAGACTTACAGGAAACGTTTGACCT